TAACCTGGATGATAATTCCCCACAGGCCTTTAATACAATAAAGAGTGAATAAAGCTGTGTGTCGTTTGTAATTTCTTTTTTTTTTTGTTCGAGTTGAAGCAAATTTAGGAGACTTACAGGTTTTACCAACTCAGGAAGTTGAACTCATTCTTGTTTGGCTTACAGCTAAGGAAACCCCAAAATTGATCAGACATTTAGAATATGGTAAATGGCCTGTAACAATATAGCGTTTTTTCAAGCCAGAAGACTTGACCAATGTGCTTTACAGTACATGCAGTCATTCACACACTAATTGTGGCAAGCTAAAATCCAAAGCAGGTAGCCACAGCTGCCCTGGGGCTCACTGACAGAAGCGAGGCTGCTGTACAGTGGCGCCACCACCTCCGACCATCATCAGATAGAAAGGTTTTAGCCCAGGCTGCAGACCTAATGGCCATCCAGCAGACGGTTGATCATGTCCTCCTACATGGAATGTGGGCTACAGTGAAGAGTTCACTAAAGCTGCAGCTCTTATCCAATTATGTATAGAAAGCTGAGTGGAAGGACAAAGTGTGAGAAGAAAAAAAGTGCACAGGTGTCGGGAATAGAGGTGAACTCTACTTCTGCAAGGAAAAAAATGTATGTATTGATATGATCAAGAGACAACAGCGGAGGTGTTTTAGGAGTGCAGTGAAGAGGAGGATATGAAACTTTGTTCCTTTTCACTAATCAGAAGTCAGACATCAAATCCCAAACCCTTCGCTAAGAACTTGCCCTTTGTTCGCTTGTTCCCGCAGAGAGTCTGCCACCTTAAGGGCCGTCCCAAACCACATAGTGTTTAGGGTGAGTGGACTGTTCAGCCCTTAAATATGGCTGGAATTTGGCTGCAGGTGTAACGTCAAACGTTTGGCAGAGGAAATGCCTGCATTCAAATGTAAGTTCTGCTGGTTTGCCTTGTCTTCGTCCCACTGAGAGAAAATTACGTTAGGAAAAAAAAAGCAGATAAAGTTATAGTGGGGGATGTTCTTTTTCCGGATGGATCATCAAAATAAGTGGTCCTCCTAATTGTCAATCATCCTGGTGATATGTTTACATAAGGCAGTCCTACGTGCTAGTTTCCATTTTCAATGACCGGTGGAGAGTCTGACATAGTGGAAAAATTGCAACTCTTCTTTTGGAAAGTGAGCTTGTATGAGCGATGCAAGCAGCAACTTTTTAACAGTGTGCATGAGGAGAAATGGGTATGTGCATGCTCTCACACGCATTTAGGGCCTTCCCTCTTTGCAGCAGGTATACGGTTCTGCATGTGCATTTTTAATTTTTTTTTTTTTAAGTGGAGAGTACTGGTCTTTTCAAAAACTAGCGAAAATCCTCCACCCTACCTTTAACTCCAAAATGGAAGTTCCTCTATGAAATTGTTTTGATTGATTTTATTTTTAAGGGGCAAATATTTGCTATCATGTCAACCTCCATCACAGAGCAACATCCGTGCATATGGTGCCTCCCTATGTTGCCATAACAACCACTGTTTCTTTTTCCATTGAAGAGGCTGTCCCCATCCTCATTTATGTCCCCCGCCCCTTACAATCAAGGTGCCCTCTACAGCTGTGAGGGTCACTTTATTAGGAGTGATGCTCCATAGTTGGGGCATAGTGTTTAGGGGCGTTTTGGGATTGAGCCAGAATCTGGAAGATGAGGGGAGGAGAAAAATCAACCAGAGAACAAGTGCTTAAGCTGTACAATGAGTAAACCAACCTCCTGTTTCCCTCTGATTACTAGTTTCATTGAGATGCTGGTGTTGTCATTATGGTCTAGCTGTGCTTCATAGAACTGCCCAAACCTAAATCCCTCATAGAGGTTATGAAATTTATCAAGAGGAAAATGAAGAAAAAAAAAAAAAAATCAGGGACAAACATAAGGTCAAACTGAAGGCCAGTATTAGAGCAACCAAGGCTTTCTGAACACATCAGAGCCACAGACTGGTCTGTCTCCATGTTTTTGTATTTTAATATGACCTTTTTCCCCCTGATTATACTTTTATAATTTTATAAAAATATCTTACAAAATATAAAACATGAATTTATTTAGATGTAATCAGTTGTTATTGATCTAGATAAAAATAAAGACTCAGTTAAAGCATTCCTATTTTTAACGGTCTAATTATGTTCAGTTTTAAAACAGCCTAAGTGGAAGCTTTTCCCAGCAGCTGTCTCTCATAGTCTCTGCCTTGCTCAAAGGCACTTCCACAATACCTGAAAAAACACAGCACACTTACAGACCAACAAGTAAACATTCTCATATTTATTATATAACTTCATGTTGCACACCAATCTGCAGAAAAGTTTGTGTAGACAGTACAGTTTTTACTGTACAGATATGTTTTAGTGCCCAGCTGCTACTGTTCCATGTTGAACACAAGGTGGCAGCACAACACTGCATTCCTTTGACATGTAAAAAGATTATTTGAAATTCATATTCCTTAAAACAAACTGAATCAAGCAAATATGTCCATTTACATTAAATTCTTAAATCTAAGCAAGCGTAATGAAAACGATACCAACAGGGGGATTTCAGATTGCTCATGCTGACAAACTGCACAATACTTATTTTATTTTTAAATGACCATTTAATACACAATCCTAGCAATAAAAGTTAAACTGCTAATTTTACTTCACAACAAATAATCCTCCGGACAAGAAAAACTTAGTTATCTCCCTCTTTGTCTCATCTCCTGCAGCTGCTTCCAGACTAAGTAAATCAATATGTGACTTTTGCTTTAGCCCTTTTTCTTTAGTTACCAGATTTGTGCTCTTTACTCTCAAGGTACATACAAGGTTTTAGCAAAATTTTACTTTCTAAGATGCAGGGTAGAAAATTATCTGATCTACTTCAAGATAAGGTAACAATTTTAACTAGCAGTTGAACAAAAATAAAACAAATTCAATTTTTAAAAAAACTTTTCCAAACATAACATGTTTCAATGTCTCATTGCAGCAGAAATGATCTGAATTTTAAGGCAGACATAATTGATGTTTTTGTTACAACTAAAGTTTTTAACTTTGTCATCAAGTCAGAATACATTTGATTGCTTAATGTCTAACTATTTCTCCCTCTAGGCTAGTTACTTGTTAAAAGTTTGCATCACCTGAAACAAGACAAAAAACATCCATAAAAGCTTAAATGGATTTTCCACCAGTTGTTCCACCATATAGCAATATGTCTGATGTTACAATACATCACACATAACAGCATTATTCACCAAAAAAAAAAAGTTTCTCCATCAAGTTTCCAACTTGTTTTTTCTTCCAGGGTTAATTGCAATAATTTAGAACATTGAAAATGTTTTGGGGGTATCGCAAGCACCTGAATGAAAACCCCATATTTTTTGCTGTTTAGACAACTTGAATGTTAAATGCAGAAATTTATTTTTAAATGGGACTCTTAAATCTGAAATTTTATATTTTAGGCAGGGAACCAGAAACAATCCTGGTAAACAAACTTGCTTCACAAGGAGAGTAGCCGAAAACAATATATTTATATATATATATATATATAAAGGTCATTCAAAGTGCTGTATTTTGGGGATATGAATGGAAAATTCAGTGGAAGGAAAACATGCAACGTGCTGAAGTAACAGAAGATCTATGTATTTGATCAGCTAGTGATCCAAAGATAGGAAGACATGAAATCCCACAATAGAAATAAGCCAGAAAGCCATAATTAAAGTAAACATCTTTCCTTTAAGATCACAGTAGACCAAAGGTTTACAGCCTACATGGAGCATTAATGTAGTGAGTATTAAGTAAATAGAATGTCCAGCATATAGGTATGCTCAGTAGGACAGCATTATTGCATTAAAATACTTCTTTATCCTTACTAGCATTTCTAAACGCTAAAATGATTAAACAAAAAAAAAACTTGGGGTTTTCATCAGGTGGATGCCAAAATCATCAAAAGTTAAACTTTATTTAACTTTAATTTAATGAGACACATTTTACTTCTTTTTAACTAAATTACCTAAATAAATAGACCCTAAACAATATCCTAATTTACTAAAACCACCTGCAGTTAGCTTGGAAAAATTAAGAGCTCCATTTCTGACAAGTTATACGGTAGATGTAAAATATCTGGTGCAGCCACAATTTAAACAGAAAAATTAAAACAGAAGAAAAAAAATCAGTGTAGTTTAGATGATAAGTTCTGCTATTTGGTTAATGTATACGAAAAAGGAAACAAGAGAGGGATGCAGAAATATCTTTTTTTCATTAAATAAATGTTTTTGAGAGAGAAATCTCAACCATGTGGAGCTTCATCTCCGATTACTTCTAAAGAACTCAATTGCACAGATTGTGGGACTCTAGTTAAGAAAACAGAAAACAAGCAAATAAAGAACCTTGAAACGACAAAAGAAAAAGAACTTCAGTTTCCCAATGATGCATTTTGCCATACAAAACATCCAAGTCCTTCCTTATAGAGTTGAGAAACAGATAAAACTTTAAAAAAAATATGCAGCTACATCAGTTCTTCATGCATAAACATTATTTCTTGAGGTAGCAAACACCATAGTTCCATTTTTATTATTTGATCAAAGGTTTTAGATGCAAAAGACATTTTATGCATTGTGTGCTCCGACTTAGGAGGAAACATAAACACCTTTGTGAATAAATAGTGTTGGAGATTTCTTTATGTAGAAAGTGTCTCATGACAAAACATGTTTCTTTCCAGTTAATTGCAGTGATAGCAAAGCAAACTTATCGTTTTGCATTTTCTTCTTGCAGTCAGAACCTTCTGACAATTAGTCCCGCTTGCTGGTTAAATAGGGCGACCGGCTGTTGATCCTCATGTGGGGAATAATTGTAAAGAGGAAGACATGGTCCCAGGTGAGTGCTTCCCCTTTTAATAGCTACTCAGGCGGCTTTCATGGGAGGCCGCTGTCCTTTTTTAGCCTTAAACATTTGATTATTTAAAAAGTCTAAGCTAGGTGAAATATACTGAATAAAGAAAAGCAAAAGTCACAGAGAAAATGAATATTCTCTGCCTTCTAATCAGTTTAAAATCAGTCCACTGAATAGATCTACCTGGAAACATTGAAAAGTAAAGTGATTCTGGGAACTAGAAAGGAAAACTATAAATAAAATGTCTAAGTGCTGCTAAGGCATCGAAGTAAAAGTCATTCGAAGCCAGTAAATCCCCAGCCCTCTGCATATGCAGCCGTCTTTATTCGGTGAGCAGATGAGTTTTGTTTGCAATAGCTGGACTGATTTAGCAGGAAAACGCGAGAAAAAGCCAAAAACTACAACTAAAGTAGTGCTACTCATCTATCCTGTTGGTTAGACTGCTTTAAAGTAGTTAACAAGCTTCAAGTAGCATCCCTGGTGAGCAGACTGGTAAGAACAGCAGACAGTCTAACTGTAAATGTAAACTATTCCACACAACAATCGTTTCAACTCAACTAAAGGTTTGTTCTTCGTTTTACTGATGTGTCAAACACAAAATAATGATTAAATTCATAATTATAAACAGAATCATAATAACCATATAAGAAGAGTCGTTCTCTTCGGTTCTTACCCAAAGGGGATTGAATCTATACCTTTTATGTTAAGTCTAACCTTGATGCTGTGGTATTTTTACTTAAGGTTAAAATAGCATAAGAAGCTCTACCAGGCCAGTCCCTAATCTATACCACTGTTCAAATCGAAGGAACAGCAAAGATTACTGTCAAACTTCCCGTTTATTTTCCACCTTCACTGGTCATGATTGCAGAATATTGTGTTGTTTTAGAGCAGGACTCATCAGAGTCCCCCAGATATAAAAGGCTAACCACCCCAGACAACTTCTGATCTAAAACATGAATCAGAAACAAAGCAGGAATCGGTAACTAAACTGCTTGTCAACAGTCCAACAATAGAAAAAATGTAGTTTGTTGTTAATTCCCAGCAAAGAAAACCAGAACACCCCCTGAATCGAAAAACATAACGCTTGACCCTCATCTGTCATTACTGCAGAGTTACCCTTTATCTAATCGATTTTAAAGCTAATTATCTTATAAATTTAGAACACATGATTGTTTTAGGACAGTTTGGTAGCTGCTAAGCTAACATTTAGCTCATATATGTGGATACTGTAAAATCCCCATGTTAAACAAACATACTATAGCATATTATGTTGATCAAACTAGTAGAAATAAATCTTCTTCAAATGTTAACTAGTTTCTTTAAAAGTATGTTTGAAAGCAGCAGCCTTTTCAGAGTTTAGGGACTAAAAATGAGTTTTAGTGTTTCTTTGAATGCCAGCAATCAGTCTTCTAGGAGCTGACAGTAGAATCAATGAGGAACCGGACCTCATGATGGAGACTTATTATTACTGAATATAAATAAATGTGATACCTGCACAACTGACAAACCGAATCAATAGATGCCAAATATCAAAAGAAGAATTATTTAGTAACGCTGCTTTGTTTGAATTCAGCAGGAGGGGAGAAGCCGCCTGAGTAGCACAGCAGGGAATCCTCCTGAAGAAATACTCTTTAGTGATGTTGACATGAAACCGAATCCGGTTTGCTGTGGTGGATGGAGCCGATTGTTAGGAGGAGTGTGATGCTGCTTCGCTGCTGGGATGTGCTTTTGCCCCTTTCTGCTTGTCATCTTCGTCGTCGTCGCTCAGGAAAAGCAGCGGAAACATTCCCAGAATGCAGCCGATGGTGATGCCGATGGCTTTGCCCTGCAGGAAGCAGAGGAGCCACACAGTTCTTTATAAACATTCTACTAAAACATAGCAACCTGAATATAATAGCTGGAAGTTTATCTTAAAAACATGCTTCATGGGGACATTCCTACTGTTAAAATGTAGTTATATTGCAGTGCAACTCAGGTGTGTTATTCATAGTTTTAGCGCAGCAACTGCTGGTTGCTGCTGATCTTTCTGAAGTTAATTTCTTTGGATACACTAAACAGGATGCTATACTGCTTTTTCTGCTCCCATAAAAATCCAGATTTTCTGGTTGTTGTAGCTTCTTTCTCTCTCTTACTTTTTAGGTAAACCTCTCAAAAGTGGCTTCCCTTAGTTTATTTTTTTCCAGCAATATTTAACACAGATAGTCGCTTTAATTGCTGCAGTCAATAAAGAATACTCTAAGGTCTATATTTCATAACTTCATGCTAGCATAACTAGAAACTTGATGCTAATACTTTTCATAGAGAACCAGACACATTTTCTCACTTTTTAGATACGCTAAGGACCTATAACTGTCAGACTGATGTAGTTTGGCTCCACCAGATATAAAAAGGCAGATTTAGTGCAGACTCACAAAGCATTTTCCCAATTAAAAATACTTTGAAGGCCCTAAATCATGAATTTTAAAGCCTTTTTAAAATAAACTATGGGTATTTTTATAATGAAAAATTGCCTTTGGAACTACAGAGTATTCATTAGTTATGAAATGTCAGAAGAAAGACACTTTAATCACTGCTACCTCGTCCCATGTGGGGGTTTCATCACATCACACTACTTCTGTTTTAAGCCTCTTCTTTAAACAGTTTCACAATTCAGACGTTCAATAATATATAAAAATACTGTGCAGATTAGCTGCTAAAAGAGCCACGCTCTTCATCACATCACAGCTCCGTGATCAAAGAAAGTGGTCGTGTCGTTTACTGGGCTGGGGAGGAGAGGTGAAGGAGGGGGCGGGTTAAAACTGTAGACCTGCGTTGGTCTCTTGTTTGCTACAACAGGGAGGGGCTGCTCAGAACTCATGAGGATTATTCAGACATAAATGGATAAAGCAAATAGCACTCTGGGCAAGATTGTAATGAAGGAATGGTTTCATACAACTGTTAAAAGTTAAAGTAGAGGATTTTGTTTCGTACGGGCCTTTGCATAATAAAACATTCCTGAAAATATTCTTGGTGGATGAGAAGCTTGAAAAAGGGAACAGTCCCATTTTTAGAGCAGAAGTATGTGTTAAAATACATCCTGGCACAGAATAAAATGTAAAAAAAGATTTATTATAGCGTAAAATAGCGGAAGACTGCGCTTAGCCAAAACGTGGCCCTTATTTATTTAAAACTAAAACTCGAAGCTTAGAAATTCAGCGGAAGAAAGGTGGCCATGAAAAGAGTTAACCTCGCTAATATAAAACATAATTTCATTATTTTTATAAAAGTGAAACTTTTAGCTGCCACCATTGACTCTTAGAGATGAGAAGCAGTTTTTCTTTATTTAATATTTGACATAAGCAAGCCGAAACATTAAAAACACAGACGGTCTTCTGCATTCTTTTGCACATGTTTTGGTCTGTTGTCATGGAGATTGAAGATGTGCACCCAAATACGACGAAAAGAGGAACAGCAGCGGAAATCTTCTAGTATAGCTCATAGTGGGGCAAAAACATTCAGTCAGCCACTGGTTATGCAATCATAGGTTCATTTTAACTATGAGAAAATTTGAGAGATAAAATGCAAGCTTTTATATTGCAAGAATTCAATTGTTAATTATAGAGAACCATTTGCTCTTCTGTCCTCTGCTGGTTACTGGTAATAATGGCACCTTTTTCAACTTGGTATCTGAATAAAAGACACCTGTCCACAGCCTCACACACCAAACTAAACTCCACCATTCAAGACCAAAGAGCTGTTGAAGGACACCAGGGAAAAAAACTGCAGACCTGCAGAAGGCTGGTAAGACTGACTCTTCAATGGCAGGCAGGTTGGTGTTAATAAATAAACTGTGGGAGCAGTTGGAGGAAAATGGAAGACAAGACCACTTTTAGCCTCCCTCCATCTGTGGGGCAAAAATAATCAATGAGCAGATAGCATAGATATACACGGAGAGACCTGCAGAGATGGAACCAAATAACAGTACCACTATTCTAAGAGGGACTGGGTTCCCTCTGCTTAGGCCAGTACATGTCCAGACTGTCTGAAGTCTGCTAGAGAGCAGATGGATGATCCAGAGGAGGACTGGGAGAATATCATGTCAGATGAAACTGAAATAAAACTTTTTGGCACAAACTCAACTCAATAGTTTGGAGGAAACAAAGAGCTGAGCTGCATCCAAAGAACACCATAAATACTCTAAAGCACACGGATGGAGACATCATGCGATTGACTGATCTGATCTGTGTTAAGGTAAGAATGACTGAGGCCCTTTTATCGTGAGATTTTAAGCCAAAACCTCCTTCCATCAGTGAGAGCATGAAGATAGAACATCGTTGGGTCTTCCAGCAAGACGATGATCCCAAAAACACAATTCTGGAGTGGCCATGCCAATCACCTAACCTGACAACAGCCAGATGCATGTCGCGCTCCGCCCAGCTCCACTCACATACATCTGGGAACCCGCCATAAGAATTGCCTTTACTGAAGGCTGGGCCTTATCAAAACTCCTTGCATATGATTGGATAAGCCACTTGTCTGTCATCTTTATTGACGTGCTATTTCAACCACTCACACCGAAGCTAACCCGTGACGCTGTGAGAGGAGGAGCCATTTGGTAGATCAAGCTCTTGCCAAATCCGGTCGGGAGAAGGGGGAAAACATCGTTTCCACCAACAAAAGCCTTCAAAGCCGTTCTCCGATGTTCTTTTAATGAAACAATATCAGATAGATTGGAAAACACAGAAGAAATAGCAGCATCAATGCTAACGCTTGCTTCCTCAATGCGAGCCGCCATTGTTGTTGGAATCTCACGGTCGCTTCTCCACTCCAGGACACACCCGCCCTGCGTCCTGATTGGGCAGACCATAAATTCGGTTGGAGAAATCACTTTCAATGAGCGGGTTCCCAGATGTATGTGAGTGGAGCTGGGCGGAGCGAGACATGCATCTGGCTGTTGTCAGGTTACCAATCACCAGAGGGAGTTTAAATAAGTTTAAAGTTCACATTGACGAGCGACTGCCCGAAAACATCACTAATCTAGAGAAGCTCTGATACAGGAGTGGACTAAACTACCAGCTAGGGGTGGGTATTGGCAAATAAGTCACGAGTTGATTTGAATCACGATTCACATGCCATGATGCGATTCTATCACGATGCATCACAATACTTGAAATATTGCGATGCATTGCGATTTTTCAATGAACACTGTAAGAAAAAGATACAGCCCTTACCAGTGGCTGACTGGCTGGGCATGATCTGGATCGTGTCTTCAATTGATACATAACTGAAAGCAACTGAATTCATACATAGCTGTATTTACTGAAAAGACTTTTGGAGGTGTTGCCATGAAAACAAATACTGGACACAAATATTACTATTACTGGCGTGGACACACTGACAGAAAGATCTTAGGATTCATCAAACTTAAAATAACAAAATAAAGATAAACAGTGCCGTTTACATGGCCTCAGTGGTCCTTTAAACCAATGAAACGAAAACATTCAAATGTATGGCATTTCCCCTTTTGCAAATTACGTGCGTCATATCAATTTCGTTTTTACCTTCTTTGTTTTTAAAGCCAAAATGCAGCCAAGCATCTGACTTGAAATGTGATGGAACCGCGGGGCGAATTTTCATAGTGTCCTCCATGTTTTATTTCATATGACTCGTCGCAGTATCCCACGGCCGGAAATGCTTGTGACACAAAGCAGCGGGCGTCAACACATCCGCAGCGACATCTGCTGGACTGGAAGTTGTATTCCACTTGGTTTGGCTGATGTGCGCCAACCATTCATGTATTTTATTTGTTCATTTTTTTTTTATTATCGATTCTTGCCTTCAAGAATCGATGCAGTAGATCACAAAAATTAGAATCTCGATGCATCGTCATGACGATTATTTTGCACACCCTTACTACCAGCTACAGTGTCTGTAAACCAGGTCAAGTATTACAGGTTATGGGACCAAGCATTAAAATTAACATTTGTTTCCCACCATTATTTACAAAGTAATTATTCTATAAAGACTCAGTTGAGACTTACTATACTTTTACTTTTGTCTTTTATATTTGAAGTGAACCCATGATGAAAATGACAGACCTCTCATCTTGGAACTTGTGCAAAAAGTGGCTGATTGAATACCTTTTGTCACACCGTAAGCGATAAAGACAGGTAATAAAGAAGGAGCGGATAAACATGATGTTACCTCTTCATCAATGTGTCACCTTAAACTCCACCTTCTGCAGATTTTTTTAAATGTGTTTAAGATTTTCTTCACCATCCCTATGTGTTTTTGCATTTTTCCTATGAATTAGAAAGCGAACTTATGAGTGACCCATAGTGGCTCCGACCCAGGGCAAATACAGCACTTTTATAAACAAATTGAAAGCATGAAGGCTTTTAAACCTGACAAAATTAGACACCCATCTGATTTATTTAGATAAATTGGAGCCTTTAAATACTTTAGGAAGGTGCCGGTCTGTCAGGTCTCTAAACTCCAATGTTTCTACAGCTTTTTCTTTACTTTGTCGTCAATTTTTTTCTCTCCTAACTTTTTTTTTTTTTTGCAAAGTTGGGTTGAATACTTAGCTTTTTCAAAAGTGAAAATTAATACTTTGATTATAATCCACAACATTACACCTGTTTAATGCAAAATGTTTAAGGTTTATTGGACCTATACTTCATTCAGCTTTTTAGTTGCTGTGAGGTTGATGCAAACCATACTCATCAGGTTTTTCCACAATCCTCTCTGCTGAGAGATAGAAAAAAAACAACCTTTGGTCATCTCACCATATGAGAGCTGAGCCTGGTCTGCCACATGTCCACCTGTTTGGCCGTCAGATCAGGAACCTGCATCCCCAGCCTGGAAGCCAAAGCCTCCACGTAACCTGCAAGACTGCAAAGACATGTCAGCCATGAGAGCCAGCGACTACCTTCAACTACATCCCATTTCTGGTGGCCAAAAAATATAAATCTGAATTACTGACCATGTGTAAGCATTTAAAAGCTTAGGGACAAAATGATGACAGATGTGAACATCAAGTATTACATCTGCTTTACCAATTATGTCAAAAAATGAAGACAACTGTGACTCTAAACACTAATCTTAAAAGATGTAATGATTTTGTTAACCTTAGCATCTCTAAACATGGTGTAGCTTTACAAAGAAGTTTTAAATATAAAGGGAATATCTATTTCTTTAAGGAGAAGAAAAGCAAAATAAACACTCAACATCCCAATAAACAGTTCTGCTTTAGTGAAAACATAGAATCCTATTAAGTCTAGAGCAACCACACGATTTAATTTAAAAGAGCTATTAGCATTCCACAGAGAAAAAAACAAATATAGCTTATTCATTTTTATTATTGCACTGCTCCGATCTGAATTAAATTCATCAGATTTAAAGCATCTACCTCTAAATGAAAGAGAGTCCTTAGAGGAGGTTAGAGAGCTGCTTACCCAAGACCTGCCAGATCTGACACCAGGTTCCCCAAGGCTGCAGCTGCGAAAACACAGAGAAAAAGGCTTTGATTACTGCTGAGAGAGAAAAGAAAACTCTGGAGAAAAGGCGGGATTCTGAAGTTTCTGCATCAAATGAGTAACTGATTGATGACATTCTTTGAGGCAGCTTTATCTGAGAACCTTACAAGCAAACTCAGTTCAGATTTAGCTCTGAAGTGATTTCCACATCAGGTGTTAAATAGGTTAAAAAAAATAACTTAAACTTAAAAAGTTTTAAAGGTTTCTACATTGTGGTATCTAAGGTTTTTCTGACACAGAAGCAGTTAAAAAAATTATGTTTTCATTGATCAGGGTTCACTGCAGAAACCAAAGACTACAGAGGAAATTAGCTTTCTGGTAAATGGACTTTATCCAGGCTGCTAAACAGCACTATGGTTGGAAGGTTCCTAAATTTGGTTAAAATTTGATCAAACGATTTCTTCTTTTTTGCCTATTTTTTCATTATCAAACCGATTTCAGCCACTGATGGAATTGACACACAGGGAGAGACAGACGACAGATAGCAGTCATCCCCACCACCCTGAACCCCAACATACAGGACTCTATTATGACGCAGCAGTTACAAATCCCAATCCTACGTCGCTTGTCTCCAAGAATACTATTAGTTTATAAAATAGGAAACTTTATGACATATTTAAAAAGTCTGTCCGAGACATAAAAGGCAGCAAGGATGAAGAGTTTGAAGATTTTATTGGAATTGACCAAAATCATACATAGGAAAGTCGGATCCAGCTGAAAAGATGTTTTCCTAAAAGTTAAAAGTTGTTCCACACACTGGAGGCCACGTTACCCCCTATCCAAGAGCAATTCTAGCCAAACAAAATTTCACACTCTTATACATGCAGGGACGCACATCAGGCTTGCAATGCAAGGTTTAAAATAAAATGATGGATCTCTTTCGCTATCATACAAACAGAAACCGCTCAGTGAGGATTTCAGTGACTAATGATAAGTTAGAGGAGAGTTTGCTACTCACTGCAATGTGCAAACACTTTCAACATGTCGGAAGACATCATTTAAACTGTGTTACAACTTTCCAAGTTACAGTAATGTGATTTTTTTCCCTATGCTCCTCTTGTCGGGAGCAAACTCCAAGAAGACTAAAAAGTTGCCGGAAGCCTGAGTTTGTTTTGGAAATATTTTAATTATGAAAAAATAAGACGCTGTTTCAACAAAAAAGAAAAGAAAATATCTATCTTGTCTTTATATATTTACTTAGAATGAAAATATACAGTCATGCACTAAATTTTCCCCAGTAAAAGTTAAAAACTGGTTTGTTAGGAACTGCCTTCGACTGTTGAAGTTAAGCTATTAACTGATTATTCTGCTTTTATTTTCCTTCTACTTTATAGTTTATTTCATGTGAAGCATTGTTTTTGTATTGAATTGTGTTTTATAAATAAACGTGCTGTCTAAAAACCACCTCTTGCTGCCTTTTCTTTCTCGAACCACTTTAAAAATGTCCAATTCCCTCGAATTCCATAACTAATATTTCTTGAAGACAAGCGACATGAGTCCAGTAAGCTGGGCTTCAGGGCGGCAGTGGTTATGGCCCTCTGTAGCTGTCGATTTCGCTCCCATAAGCCTGGGAACATTTAAGAAGCTCCTGAGATCAGCTGGAGGAAATGAGTCTCATCGGCCCTGATTCACCTGAAAGCCTCCCTTGGATCAGCATCTGAGAGAAAACATGGATGAGCGGGAGATTAAAATCTTACTGGCAAAATATTTCTGATCCTGGGTCTTCACTCTTATTAAGTCTGCTGCATCAGACCATAAAGTGAATATATCCTCACTTCTCTGTACCACCTCGGTATATCCCAAATAAAAAGCAAAACTATAAATCATGGCGGTAAAATGTAGGATTAGAGCCCTTTAGGGTGAGAAAAGGTGTAAAAGTTTTATAAATCAGGGACGCTTTTGGACAATCACCAAACAAACGAATCAATTTCTTTCCTTTCTGCCAATGAGGTCAGCATGGTCAGCTTTCAAACACTTTCCCCTCTGATGGACAACAGCAGCTATGAATAATTCACACTGCGGCTTCTGTTCCCACAACAGAACGATGACAATATGCCTGATTACAATCAAAACAGAGTACATTTTCTTTGTTTTTTATACACATTTCTGCTGACATAAAAGTCAACAGTTGGAGGTGGTGATATTCCTGAAGGATTTAATTGTCCAGATGGAAGGTTTTAGTGTGAACTTCCTCCAAACAAAGAAACTTCCTGACAGTGATGAAGTGAGACGCCACTCCTGTCTCACCTCATTTCACTGGCATTACGGACACAGCAGAGAGAGGGTGAAGAAGCCGGAGTCACTGACACGGTGAAACCGGGAAATGCGTCTTTGATATAAAATAAGAAAATAAATTGGATCGCTCAACCGACTGGACGATGAAGAAACAAATAGAAAAGCAGATCCTGCATGGATGGAGGCAAAAAGATGAGCAATTGATCTGTCTTCAGGCTCTGATTTTCACTTTGCAGAGGTATTGAGAGCCAAGTAACCATGGAAACGGGATAATCTAGCAGTGAAGAGAGGGAGAAGGCAAGCTCCAGCGCCTTTATGGTTTTCACAGCGCAATAAAATCCCAAACTAAGACCCAGAATAGGTACTGTGATGACAGTCCTCTGTGTAGCAATAAAATGGAACAACATCAGGGGAAAAAGGACATTTCAAGACAAATTTATGCGACTGCTATGATCTAAAAATTCTCTGAAAACAGGGACGGAAAAAGGAGGATCTGGATTTCTAACCCTCTCTAACCTTCTGCTCTCTCTGCTTTTCCTCAGAGTAGCTTTGCCTCGTCAGTTCCTGTTTGGCTGTGACGTCATCCTGGAAAAAAAACATCAGTGCTGCTTCTATCAACACCCTTGTTAATAGATGTTGGAGATCGGCCTGTTTTCCAGTGTGGTCCTGTTTCTCTGACCGTGACTGAGTGGATGTGCTCTCTTCGTCCTCTGGCATGGGAGCTGCCTTGGAGCTCGTCTGCCTGGCTGTGTGTTTCCTGGACGGGGCCGCCTTTTACAGCTGCGTTTTGTATCTCAGCTTCTGTCTCCTTGAACCCCAGTCGGCCTCGGCAGATGGCCGCTCACACTGAGCCTGGTTCTGCTGGAGGTTTCTTCCTGTTAAAAGGGAGTTTTTCCTCTCCACTGTCGCTACAAGCATGCTTAGTGTGGGGGATTGTATTTGAGTCAATGAGTCAATGCAATCAACTGGTTTTCCTTAGATAGAAAACTTTGTATCAATTTGACTGTATGATCTGGTTGAACTGTAAAGTGCCTTGAGATGACATGTGTTGTGAATTTGGCGCTATATAAATAAACTGAATTGAATTGAATTGAATTGGATTTGCACATGAAATTTACTTGTGAAACTCCAGGATAGATAAAAGCAGCGACTGCAGGGTTTTTAGGTCATTTAATATCTGATATTGTTGTCCCTTCATCAGTGTGGGGGGAGGCCATCCGACTGCATGCAGGAAAGTTCAGCCGAGAATAAACTAGAATTGGAAAATTGCCATTAAAAGGCTGCAACATGAATAAAATCGGACCTAAAGGCAAATATAGTTGGAACGTTGATCAACTTTTTTTGTATTTTCCAGTTTCTAAGAGCCTCTTCTTTTGTATTGACAGCAGATTTGCTGGTTTCCAGCTGTTTCTAAGTGGGGCCCTCTGGTTGGATTTGGAAAATTTGAATTTGGAGATAAGACAGTCGGCAGGATGGGAAGCTTTTCATAAACTCTTCATTTGTTAAATAACATTATGCAAGCTAAAACACAACAAAACTCTTTAACCAATCAGCAGCTTCATACACTAAAATAAAAGCGATTTCTTGAGAAGGATTATATCCTTTATTACTGTTAAAACTGTGTAACAGAAAAAATTTAATATCTATTAAATTGCCTTGAAACTGTTCATAACCAAGCTCATAAATTAGCATTTTAATGTTTATGTCTCATAAAATCCATCCAAACCAAAGGAGAACAATCTACCATCAATAATTATCAACTTTGTTTAAATTTACTGATGTGTTACATCAATCTATTGGTCATACACTATATTGCCAAAAGTATTTGCTCACCTGCCTTGACTCACATATGAGCTTAAGTGACATCCCGTTCCTAATCCATAGGGTTCAATATGACGTCGGTCCACCCTTTGCAGCTAGAACAGCTTCAACTCTTCTGGGAAGGCTGTCCACAAGGTTTAGGAGTGTGTTTATGGGAATTTTTGACCATTCTTCCAGAAGCGCATTTGTGAGGTCGCACACTGATGTTGGACGAGAAGGCCTGGCTCTCAGTCTCCGCTCTAATTCATCCCAAAGGTGTTCTATCGGGTTGAGGTCAGGACTCTGTGCAGGCCAGTCAAGTTCATCCACACCAGACTCTGTCATCCATGTCTTTATGGACCTTGCTTTGTGCACTGGTGCACAGTCATGTTGGAAGAGGAAGGGGCCAGCTCCAAACTGTTCCCACAAAGTTGGGAGCATGGAATTGTCCAAAATGTCTTGGTATGCTGAAGCATTCAGAGTTCCTTTCACTGGAACTAAGGGGCCAAGCCCAGCTCCTGAAAAACAACCCCACACCATAATCCCCCCTCCACCAAACTTTACACTTGGCACAATGCAGTCAGACAAGTACCGTTCTCCTGGCAACCGCCAAACCCAGACCCGTCCATCAGATTGCCAGATGGAGAAGCGCGATTCGTCACTCCAGAGAACGCGTCTCCACTGCTCTAGAGTCCAGTGGCGGCGTGCTTTACACCACCGCATCCGACGCTTTGCATTGCACTTGGTGATGTATGGCTTGGATGCAGCTGCTCGCCCATGGAAACCCATTCCATGAAGCTCTCTGCGCACTGTTCTTGAGCTACATGAAGTTTGGAGGTCTGTAGTGATTGACTCTGCAGAAAGTTGGCGACCTCTTCGCACTATGCGCGTCAGCATCCGCTGACCCCGCTCCGTCAGTTTACGTGGCCTACCACTTCGTGGCTGAGTTGCTGTCGTTCCCAAACACTTCCATTTTCTTATAATACAGCTGACAGTTGACTGTGGAATATTTAGGAGCGAGGAAATTTCACGACTGGATTTGTTGCACAGGTGGCATCCTATCACAGTTCCACGCTGGAATTCACTGAGCTCCTGAGAGCGACCCATTCTTTCACAAATGTTTGTAAAAACAGTCTGCATGCCTAGGTGCTTGAATTTATACACCTGTGGCCATGGAAGTGATTGGAACACCTGATTCCAATAATTTGGATGGGTGAGCAAATACTTTTGGCAATATAGTGTATGATGAACCAAGCTCTGGGAATGTCAACTGTAGAAACTGTTAAAATTTATTTTGCAATTAAAGTTGAAAAACATATTAATCATGAGCACAACGTAAGGTTCTTTTCCCCCATTTTCAAATATATTATCTTTATTTACTCTTACAGGGTGATAAACAGTGTTTCCAAATGTTAGGTTTATTCAGTGATGATTATAAAATTAATGTGTGCTTATAAAACATTTGTGCAAGGGGATGCTGAACTCCTGTGTCATGATTCAGTCAGGAGACCATCCTGCCTTGTTATTCTGATGGAGCATTCTGTCTTCATGAACTGATCAATTGTTCTGTCAGAACAATACTCTGTTTGTAACCATGCGTCATGTTCTGTTAATAAACACTCTGCAGAGTAGGTCCAGTGGAAGACGGTGTGTTTGAGTCTGGGGTTCAACTGTCTCTCCTTCCTGCAGGAATCGTATCCATAATTGTGTATTTCAGTTCCTCTTTTGCAAAAACCTTCATTTTATGAACCCGACACCAAACCAAATAATAATCAAGCTAAATCATTTCAGTTTAAAGTTTAAATAAAGCTGTATAATATCAAATAAATAATTCAGAATAAAATATCTACTCCTTGACTATTTTCCAGTTTTATGAGTAAGTACACGAAACACAAACATAATAAAACTGCAAAATGCACCAACAAAAAGCAAATAATACATAAACTTCACCTGGATTTATGTGTATCATCTAAAATAATCTGCATTCCACCTAAAATTGTTCTTTTTTTTTATGTGAAGTGCAGTCCATTTATAGTAAATAGAAATATTCCCCACCAGAGTCAGACAGGTGAATGTTGAAAAAACTCTAAATCATATAACAATGTGTTTTTTTGCACCATGTTTTTTCACCCACAGTGTTTACATTAGATCACTGCGACAATTTGAGAGCTGTAAAAAACACAATTTCGTTTTGTATACAAGATGACAATAAATGTTGTCTAAAACAAATGAAGTTCATCCTGTTTTATGGACGTGAACAGCTATCTTAGGGCCAGAGGTCATGATCCGTTACAGCAGAAGGAACGTGAGATTTTGCCATGACACCCTACCAACCCCTCCTCCTTCTGACTGAGGCTCCTTAAACTGAACTTAAACATTTAGGATTTACTTTGATTTATAGTAATATCAGCAATATCTATGGATTTAATATTGATTTATCTTGTTGTTTATTTCCAGGTAGGGAACTCTGCTACTAACAATTCAAAAGCTACAGAACTACAGAGAATCAACTCTAAAATCATGATGATATCAGAAAGTTTAAACTCCTTTAACCGGTGGGACATGAAAGAAAAAAATCAAGTTATCTGGTGTCAAAAAGATGAAGACAATGTTTGCAAAGCTAAATGACTTTTATAATCATCTATTCTCAACTGTCTCTAATGATTAATTATGGAAAGACAACAGGTCCCAGCCGACAAGATAAGAAGTCATTTTAAATAGTAATGGGATTTCGCTATTTGATCTGTTCTTACCAGCCATGGTGGAGATCCCCAGAGTGACTCCGATGGAGAGTTCAATCTGTGTTCCCTGTAGAACGAAAAGGAATCAGGTCAAATATTCTTCCTGACTCGCTGTTATCTTGAGTAAACATGATAAAACATACATGGGAGACGTTTTTACTCCTGAAGGCATCTGATTTAACTTTACTTACTGCTGCAATCATGATGGCATTATCCAGGAAACCAAATCCAATAAAGGGGACGGCGTTGTGGAATAAAACTGAAGCAAAAATAAATGGGGAGAAAGAACAAACAATATTTATAATTACAACATAAGAAATGTGATTTTAAGTCCAAAAACCCTAATTACAACCCTCTCTTAAAAAAAAAAAAAAAAAAAAAAAGATGTTTGGCAGTCAGGTTTTTGAACTAATATTTCCAAATCATGCTTCCTTTGGTCCTCAGGTTCAGGTCTGTTCCTGAAAAATTGGACAAGCAGTGAAAGGAAGTCGGCTGCTGTAAAAAACTCCGACTATTGCATGGAAATGGGAGCATGTGAGTCAATTAGTCTGCTAAGACGTCAGAATTTGTCAAATGTTATAAAACTCTAAAGGCCTAAAAAAAAGTTTGGAACCTAAAATCAAATCAAGGCTAAAGAAATTCAATTTAATTCTAAATTGAAGAAATTTACATCATGGAAATTTACATGGAACTGAGACATTCACAACCTGTGGAACTGAAACAGTACAAAAAAACATCAAACTTTTTTATTTAAAGACAAAACGGATCATTTATTGCCTGGTGTACGGACTAATAAAAGCCTGACCCAGATCAAGAAATTAGAGATTTAAAAAAATGTAAATATTTAAGAGTTATTTCTTAACAATCTGATATCTGGAAAAATCAAATCTGGTCCAGTAAAAGTAATTAAGAACCAGGTGCTTAGCTAGCAATGCATACAGGCGTACATTGTATGCCCTTTACTAAAAATAATAGTAACGGAGGTATGGGACCATGTGAGTCAATTAACCTGTTAAGTGGTCAGAATTTTCCAAATGTTATAAAACTCTAAAGGCCTAAAAAAAAAGTCTGGAACCTAAAATCTAATCTTTGGAAAATAAAGGCTAAAGAAATTCAATTTAATTCTCAATTGAAAAAAATGTACATCATCTTTTTCCCCCTTATCAACAGACATTTATATCAGAGATGCTGTAAAGAATAGAAATAGATCAGCATTAAAACCTTCAGATATATAAGCTAAGTACATATAGGTAACATCTGTGAAAACAGTCCAGCTTTATGTGGACAGTTTATCATATTATCTGCTTGATCTGAATCCAGCAGGTTCTGCTACTACAAGCAACATTCAGCACTTCGACACCAATGCAAACATCCTTTCTCCATTAGTTATATGAATGTTATTACTTTTTTTTCCCGGAGTCAGTCTCTTTCACACTAGTAATGTATACACCAATAAAAATAAATCTGCCTCTTTATTTTTTCCTTATTATGTCTTTATTTTATTTTCCGCTGCTGTAAATAGGTTTTTACTGTGTAATTTAGTGAACACATTTCAGTACTCTCACTTGTTCTTTGGTAGTATTCTCATAATAGTTTGCTTTAAGATGATACTAATAGATTCGTCTGATTTCTTTGAATGCACATTCACTCATATAATTAAGTGCAGTGAAATAAATCGTACATGAATGTAAATATAAAATCTTTTAAATCAAGGTCATTTTATTCTTATTCAGAGGTAAAAAAAATATATATTAATGGTAAGATATCTATAATTACATGTTATTCAGCTTCCCTTTGCTGGATGAGCACAGTAAACCGTTATTGGTTTATGAAACTAACAGGCAATAAAAAATTCATTCATGCTGAACTGTGGAGATCAAAGAAACACCAGTGAATGAATGTCAATCTGGACTGTTTTTGTTAGATACCAACACTTAACTGCCTCAGTGTGTGTGTGTGTGTGTGTGTGTGTGTGTGCAGCACATTTTATCTCTCACCATATCTGATCTGGGCTCCAGTCGGCGCTGATGGCTCCAGAGTCTCTGAGGAGAAGAAAGGGAAACATCAAAACATCAGAAGTTCTCTTATTAACCACCGGGGTCGGAGTTTGCAGCAACACAGACAGTTTGCACATCACGGTCCACTTTTGTTTGGCATTTTCCATCCTCTGACGATGCTTCGCTCGGACTTCTGGCAAAACGTCTCAGCAGAACTCGCTGCTTCTGTGTCTATTAGAGTCACTATAAAGCTGAGAAAGGAGCTTTTAGGAGGTTTGGCTTCGGATCAGGAGTTAGCTAAATTTGATCTAAAAATAACACATGGTCTCCATGGTGATGTGGCTTAAAAAATTAAAACGAAACCCTAATAATACTAATTATTTTTTCCTTTAAACACAAATAAAGCATTTGGTGACATTAAAACAGAGAACAAAGAGATGGTTCAAAGGTTCATGGAGCAGAAAAAAGATAGTATGGATAAGAGATAACATGATTACATCTTTCGCTAATGGGTTTGTTACTTTTGAGTAAAGCATTTAGAGATAAGCATGAAATAAATCAAGATATTGTTCATATATTTTTATCCATCTTCCATATAGTCTGAAAACTATTTCTGACAAAAACAGACCCTCTTCGTCCAGGTGGAACCAGCAAGTAGCAGATGCTACAGTTGGAAAAATTTAATTTTTGTTGCTTAACATGCCACATCAACCAATCAGAGGAGCTGATCTGGGAGCTGGCAGGGAGAGAGAGAGACAGCACTGCTCATGTATAGGAAGATAACCACTCCACTGAAACTGCTTATTAATGCATAAATTTACTTAAAATGTCAAAACCTGCTGGCAAGATATGCTCACTTTTATTATTCTGGTGCCTGTAGTTTGTACCACATACCTGAAAAATGCTAACATCACAAACGGCAGCGGAAAAACCCGAAGAGGCGACCCGGCATGAGGCAGCAGCTGCTGGGGATTCCCATTGACAGCAGTATGTGGGGGTCTGAGTGGCTCTGACAGCAAAATAATATTTCAGGGTAGGATTGTAATCTTGATGAACTGACTGCACAGATGATGTTCTGAGGTGGACTTTCTCGCAAAAAAAAAAAAAAATATTTAAATTTTTTTACCAGCCTATCACAGCCAATATAGCATAGCCGCTCCCTGCAACTGAACACAGGAGCAGAACAAGCATCAGATGCATCTGGACACACTTTACTGGACGTGCTTCATGAGCGTCAAAGATGCTCTTGATGCACATCTGACCTTAAACAGGAACACCGTTTTTTTTTACACTGGCCCCTTGATTTTACGTTATTACGTAATGTTCTACTCACCCATGTAAGTTTTGTGTTACTTGGTGCTGTTCCGAAGATATTTGGTTTTGTTATATCCAAGTAACGTCTTCCTATGTGCAACGACTTGAAGGCACAAACTTAACTGTTCATAATTTATCATTTATGGTACACCAGCATTCAGAACATGTAGGCGAATCACTGTCCCCCAGACATCCACAGTAATATTTTTTATATTTATATAAAAACAAAGCGGAGTGTGTATGACTTCATCCGCGCGCCGGAGCTGGAGTTGTGACGTGCAGCACAGGCCACAAGCGGCTACGCTCTACCCCTTATACTCATTCGGCTAGCTAATCTGAGTCATTCAATTCCATTTCGAGAGCGAGATCATCTGTGGTAGTAGCACTAGACATCTTCCGGGCATGTGAGGAAAACTAGCAGCAGTTCAGGGGACAGGACGAATGAACGGTAGCCGGCTTGATGATGTAATAACGTAAAATCAAGGGGCCGATGTAAAAAAAGAGTTCCCCTTTAATGTGTACAACCATCAAAAATGAAGCATGCTAAAATCGTGATGTGAATGTAGCATTAGGCTTTCTGATTGTTTGAATTAACCTACGAAACATAATATTGTACCTAAAAATGATCTAATTTCTTCCTTATGAAATTTCCACCTCTAGTCAAGCACACATACTTCCCCTAATCAGGACAAACATAGTGTTGTAACAAAGACAAAAAAATAGCTGCCTTCCATGGCAGCATTTTAAAGAATCTCAATTTCAAAATTTAAGGAAGAGATACACCAAGGTCTACACCTGATTAAATGTCCCTAGCCAAAAGCCTGCAGAGAACAAACTTAAAAGGTGTGTTTGCAGCTTTCTCGAACCACTGCTGTTGTCCTGATGAATGAAGCATATATCTTGCCATGTGAGTGAAGGCTTTAGCCTTGAGATAAAATATTGGTTAAAAAAAGGCAAAAATGCAGATATGGTTTAGTGATTTGGTTAATAAGTCCTGTAAAGATGAGTGACTGAAGAAGATGAAAATCCTGCAGATAATGATACAGAGAATTTACCTGTCAGCTGAGGAAGCAGAGGGTTGCAATCATTACCCCTTCAGCCCATACACAGCTGCTCATGTCAACTCTGAGCCGCCTTCTCATTTCATTCATGGAAAAAAAGACCGTTTCAGGACGATGCTAATAAATCCTGGCAGGAAAAGGATCCGCTTTATAACGTTACCAGATGGATGGCTGTGCAAATCTGACTGGAGATAGAGGAGGACGGAGTCTCTGAGGCAAAGATCCAAAGCTGAACAATGAGAATTTTCAGTTAGACTGACTTGATCCAGAGTTTCTCATTTGTTTTTGCTCAGAACCCTTCAGCAGTGAAAGCTCCAGAGGAAGGGATGGTCGATTCCAGCAAAACATGTCTAGATAAATGATATTTTGATTTCATGTACCACTAAATCTAAATATCTTGAGCGTTTTTATCCCTCAAAAAGCACAAACACTAAATCCAAGGTGAAGAAACTTTATGAGACAGCAATGTTGAGACGAATTTAAAATTGGATTTGTCCCCCAATGCAGGACAACAGGGCCACAAAGCAACCAGCTACGTATCCTGAAGAAGGAGGTGGCCTTCTTCATACTGGTTCCGCACTGCAAGTCGCTCCATGAAACCATGTCCACCAATTTGACCCCTGGCTGAGTTTTGTTGTGATAAACGTCATCTAATCCTACTGCTTCAACCTATTTTTAGATCTCTGATCAACACCGATAAGAACGCTATCAGCCGACTGCGATCTATTGCCTATTGATTGGTGCATGTCCAACTTTTTCTTTGCAATTCTTTTTCAATAAAAAGGATGTATGCTAAACTCTGCACAAATATCTTGAAAAACAGCAACAACCCTGTAATATTGTTAGGATTATATCACAAGCAGTTACTGCAGTGATATAATCCTACTGTTCAACGTCTCAAAATTGAGTATCACATTACTCAATCATCTCCAGGCTTTACATTTCACATTTCATTGCTTTCTACCTCTACCAACTCAGCATCCTCTAAGAACTAGTCTGTCAGTTTGCCATAAGAATCCGATGCCCCTCTATATAGTCAGCTCGGACCTTTTTGTTGCTAGGCAACAAATTTCCCTCCTATAACTGACCATCACCGTTTAGGAACAAGGAGGTAATGTGGAAGTGAAAATAAATATAGCTTCTCTAACATCAGCAGGAAAAACGCCTAGTTGCTCAAAGACAAACATTTAACAAGAAAGTGTAAAAGAAAAAGAAAAAAAAAGAGGTTTCACGTCAACAACGTTGCTTATATTTCCTCTATATATAACAATCTATATGGGTTTCTTAAAATAATTTCAACTCTACTGATTTCAGAAACTTTTAACATGTAAATATTAAATTTTTTTAGAAAAGAACTTTCAGAAATAGAGAGCTATATCAATACAAAACACAGATTAATGTTTATTTCATCTAAACATAAAAAACATGATTGCTGATCTGCTGCCTCCCAGTGAGACAACAGATAATGTGCCTACGGAATACCTATTACATGTGATTACATATATCAACTAACCTGCATACCGTAAATGGGCATTTTACAAAGAGAAAACCGTAAGCTCCTAATAAAAATAATAAAATACCTGGAAAAAATAAAATGCCTGATGTAAAAGCTCTGAATGATCCCTCAAAAGATGGAAAATAAATCTACTTTTTTCTATGTAAACACTTGGCAGTTTATACCAGAGAGAAGGCCTTAAATCTTACAACTGGACAATAAACCGATAAATTAATCCAGACTACTGGTCCATGAAAGCATAAAAACATTGTTTTCTGCAGGCGTAGGCGGATCACAGACCTGTTCCAGCTGTGAAGTTCAACCTAAACCCTGAGTAAATATGCTGAAGTTCATTTATTTAAAACTACAGCACATTATCAGACTAATTGACAGAATTACTTTATTTCAAATATGCTAATTTCTCCTAAACAGCACTAATAGCTCCAACAATATTGCTGAATCATGTTTGGCCTCATTTCTCACAATCAAATATTAGATATTAATTTAAGTAATGAAAAAAATACACAACAGAAAAAAAACAGAAAATACACAACCAGACAACATTTATTAATTTCAGTAAAGATCGGGTAAATCTGCAATGATTCCATCAATTTGACAACTATGTTCCTCAATTTGATATTTTTATGCTTTTATTTAAACAAAACATTAATATAAGGCACTGAGAAGGCAGTGCCATTTTTTATTTAGTTGTTAAACAACATATTTCATCTCAAAGTACTGAACTATAAATCAGGCACCAAGCCCAAACTCACCATCTGTTTTCCTTTTGTAATCACACTTCCCTAAACTCTTTCCCTATGTAGAAAAATAAAATATTATTTTCTCTTCTCATGGATCCCTCCAGCTGGCGAAGCCGTTCTGTTTACTGTCCACATTTAAATAAAGCTCATCTGAAGTAGATGTGCAGCAAAATTACCAGTAAACCACATTGATGCACTGATTAATGTACATTACACTAATTGTTCACTTCTAAATGTTTCAATAGTGGAATAATTATACAGGAAGACATTTAAGATTTGCATTAAGAGGCAACAGTTGATTTTAAATGATCAATCCTGTTTAATGTGTGTTGTTCTGTTACAATACCAGGAAGGAATAAAGTCCTTAAAGGAATAGTACACCCAAAACATGATTAGCCTTCATTTTCTACTCAC